GGTGCAGGGCGGCTGCAGGCAGACCCAGCCACGCAGCGCAGCTCGGGTGCAGGGCGGCTGCAGGCAGACCCAGCCACGCAGCGCAGCTCGGGTGCAGGGCGGCTGCAGGCAGACCCAGCCACGCAGAGCAGCTCGGGTGCAGGGTGGCTGCAGGCAGACCCAGCCACGCAGAGCAGCTCAAGCAGTCCGATGTCAGAGAAAATAAAGTGCGCTGTATGTAGCGAGGAAATTAATGCTGAGCAGTTCTCTGATCATTTGTTTTACTTTCATGCAGAGGAATCTTGTGAGCAGTGTGGGAAGATTATTAAAGGTGTAGATGGGTTGCTGCAGCATATTGAAGAAGAACATGATCCACCAAAACAATCACCACCACCAAAACAATCACCACCACCAAAACAATCACCACCACCAAAACAATCACCACCACCAAAACAATCACCACCTGCTGCAGCTCTTCCACCACCAAAACAACCTCCTTCAGCTTGTCCACCACCACGACAACCACCACCTACTACGCCTCTACTATCCCCACTCCGACAACCACCATCGCCTCTTCCTTCCACATCGTCACATTTTATCCACCTGAGGCCACCGGATGTGAACTGGGTGAGCTTTCTCCCCAAACAGTTCATGCGGGTCATCAAGGCAGCTGACCGGGAGTGGATTGCCCAATGTCTTTATGAGCCAACAGGACAGCTAAGGCAACAGTTTTCCCAAAACTGGTTCTATCCACCTGGTCCACCAAAACTATCAACTGCACCACCTGATCCCTTGAACTATTTCAGGCAGCGGATGTTTCTTTGGGCACCGATGCGGATGTGGGGTATTTCCCTGAAGTGCCCTCAGTGCAACACCAAGATGCACCACTCCGGCATCTACACTAAAGCAAGGGAAGTAATAGATTTCGACTCACGATATTATTTGGTTGGTGGGGACTATCCACGGTGCAGCAGATGCATGATCCCTGTCTGTCCTTGGAGTAGTGAGGTGTTGAAACAGTTGGATCCTGCCCACCGAAACAGGTTCCCCGCTGTTCTTACTACTCAGCTTGCTCTGGACAGGAAATGTGTAACGATGCTTAAACCACGAACTGCAGGGAACAGCTCCAGTTACCTCCAGCAAGCACTAGAGGAAGTTCATAGTGAGGAGTGGGCAAGGCACAGCATTGAGTACCTGTCTGACTGTGAACTTCACAAAAGGAGGAGTGCCTTAACCCAATGTGAGGCAGCTGTCTATTATCCGCCCCCACCCTTTTGTCCCCTACCCCTTGCACAGTGGTTCGAAACAGTCCATGCCAATGAGATCCTGTGTCATCTGGAAGAGATGAAGGGTGTCATTACTACAACATATGGCAGGATTTTAAAGCTTGACTCCACAAAAAAGGTACGAGGGAAACTTTGTAATGCTTTGAAAAATTTTGTTTTGTCCATGATTATTTATGATACCCGATTATGTTATTATACTGATTTATTTTTTTATAGATCACAAAGAAGCTCGCTGGTGGCATTGCAGACACAGCTACTTGGATGACAAACATAAGTAATGAATGTGGCCAGGTACTGAACTGTGTTTTAACCACTGGTGAGGGAGCTGGCCTAGCTGAGTTGTGCCAGGGTATCGTCAAGCGTTACCAGGCCGCAGGGGAGCCAGAGCCAGATGTCATCTATGTTGACAGAGATTGCTGCAGCGAGACAGGTGTGTGACCTTTAATATGTTTTTATAGTAATGTATTATTTGTTACAGGGACAAAATATTTAGAAACATGGTTATTTCACTGCATTGCTTGAACATATTTTCAATGGATATCAAAGTGAAACACAAAATTCAAGTTGTTACTTTATTCTGTATGATAGCTTGCCCACAGTTACCTTAATTATGTCTCAGTTGTCATGCCTTGGAGATGTATATGTCATCTAAATCACTGTAGCAATAGATTTATCACATAACTCTTACATTCAGGCCTTGTTGATTCGCACAGGTATGCCCCCAGTCCTTGTCTGGTTTCAGCCATGGAAGACTATAGTGAGACTGGACATTTTTCACTTTATGAGAAGATTCAGCACTGGTCTCACAACAGAACACCATCCTCTGTATGGTGTTTTCTGTTCAAAGTTGTCTTCCTGTATTTTTGAGTGGGACCAGCAGGACATCTGCCATCTCAAGGACGCAAAGAGGTCAGAGATGAAGAAAAAAAATGCTGGTCTTGCTCCTACAGATGCACAAGTTCTGGCCAGTATCACCTCCAGTGAACTAGCCAGGCATTGCAGAAGGAGAACTCGTGGGGTTGAAAACACCCGTGGCCTGATCCAAGAACTGTTGAAGTCCATGTGGGATCTGACTGACACTTCAGGTTTACGGCTGATCAACCCTGAGAGCATGACACATGTGTGGGAGGTGCAACAGAAGCATTTGCCATGCATCCAAGACCCACCAGGTGTCGAATTATACACCAAACTTGGCTCAGGGTTGCAAAAAGGAGACAAGGTCCTGGACGTCTTGAGATGCGCCAGAGGGTCATCTTCTCTGGAGAGTTTTCATCGCCACCAGTGCACCTTTATCCCAGGTAATTAGAAATTATAACTCTTTGACATAATTTATATCCTTTACATGTCTGCCATTAAATTATATTCATAAAAACACAATGTCTACTAAGTATCAAGTTTGTGAGACTTAATAGTAGTTATCACTTAATAAATACAACCAATATTTCAATAGTCACAAATGTCATTTTGTTTCCAAAGGATGGAGATGTAATGCCATGCACACTCAGATGTACATGCTTGAGGGTGGGTCCAGGTGGAACATGAATAGAGCCCATGAAGCTGTGAGTTTGAGTGCCAAATCACACACTAAACTGTACGATGTCCGCCTGATGTCCAACCTGAATTCACTCAGCAACAGAGTCCTCCGTCATGCACTCTTGCCTGAATTTATTCCCCCTGGGAGACCCACTGGTAAGATGGAGACATCAATTTTACTTGCAACTATTACAAATAACACGTTCTAACATATTTAAGAGATAATCTTTTCTGCATTTTCACAATCATTTTGATGCATGTCTGTTCTAATTCAAAATATCCTTTTTCCCCTTTTGAAATGTTTCTTCATGGCAGGTGAGCGTATTGCAGTGGAGTATTTACTTGCTCAGTCTGACAGAGGTGACCTGCTGGCTCCACAACAGCACAGGGAACTTGGCATCATTCTACCTGAGCTGCAGATTGAAGTTCAGGAGGAAGAGTGTCTTGATGTCACGATAAGTGATGTAGCTGACATTGTCAGGAGGAGTCCACCTGAAGCCCCCCAGTTTGAAGACGATTTGAACACTTCAGCCAATCGCAGTCCTTTCCCCCATGGTGATTCAGCCAGCGCAGCATCCCAGGTAATCTGACCACTTGATGATCATCTTGTCATTGAAATTTTACAAGAAATGTTATTTATTAGTCCATTCTATCAATTATTATTATTGTTATAGCTGCCATTTGTATTTTTATGTTGCATGCCTATAGACCAGTGAATTCTTACAGAGGGAATTTTATATTCTAATGATATTGTTTTTCATAATTGTTTCTCCCTTGCAAATTTACAGGAGACACATCATGAAGAAAGCAGTCTCTTTAACAGTCCTCTCAGTCCAGGAAGAAACATACTTACTGAGGACAGTTCCTCTTGTGGACCTAGCACATCATCTCAGGTAATGTGTTTAAGAACTTATTTCATCCTGATTAATGATTAATGTTATCTTTTATATATTTCCGGTGTTTTATATGATAATTTTAACTTATATAAAGTGTCTATGAATTTCCTTGCTTTGGTTTTTTATCTTTCAGGATAGCCGATGTGATGCCAGAGGTGTTCCAGGATGGGAGGCAGTTGATAACTTGGCGAAGTACCTTGTCAACCTGAACCGCACGATAACTGCCTTGTCAACCACAGAGACAGCTGAGATTGTGCAGCTATATTCCAGTCTACATGCCATGGACAAGGCTCCCTCCAAGTATACACTAAAATGTAAGAAGACAACCTTGCCAGGGCCGTGGAGAGCGTCCAGGAAACGTAGTGGTTCTGCACCTGGTCAACAAGCAGCTGAAAGGTGACCTCACCTCGAAAGGATGCACACATTGTGTAGTTTACACGTATCATAAATCACATGTTACATTTAGGTAGTATCACACAAGCAGAGTCATATTATTATGTATGTGTTTAAATTTTTTTGTAAGCGATTCAAACAAGAAGATTGCTATAAACAGTCAGATTGTCAAATGGGGTTATACTGTATATCATGGTTCATACAATGATTCACACACTTTAATTATATTGGTGCAACTCTCTGTTGTACATTGATTACACTGTCTTTTTTGTCTTCACAGACTATTCATGACCCATGGTCAGGCTGCCCAAAGACCTGATACCAACAGAATTTCAGAGTGTGTTTCCCTCAGGCTTTTGAAGGAGTATCAGCAAGGGAGAAATAGGCCAAAAGACTGCAAGGGCAAAACCTTACCCATTCCACAGTCCATTGTGCAAACATACTGTCACATTAAACAACTGCTTGAAGACAGCCGGGTGATACAGGACCAGACGAACTTGGTACTCGTTACCATTAATACCACTACAGTGTCTTCTTGGTGAGATGTTTTTGATTTCCTCCATGCACTGAGTGGTATTTAATTATTTGAACATAATCAGATTTAACTTGAAGAATTTTTGTATTTTCACCAGGTTATATGAAAGACAGAAGAGGACAGACCGTGAATCACTCCTGCAAGGAGTACAGCTTCCCCAGAAGGTCTCTGCTGCGAAGGATTCCTTGCCAAAAGCAAGAGATCTGCCTTCTGCACCTGTGGAACATGGACATGTAGCCATGGAGTTCCAGGAACCAGAAAATCGTGAGGGTGAGGCAGTGATACGCCGGCGCCGCAGTGTCAGAACTGGTTATGCACAGGACTGTCCTCCTGGGTCATGTGCATGGCCTGCTGCTTCTGCCTCATCCTCATACCAGATGGGTCATCAGCCACCATCATCAATTCCTGCCTGGTCCTCATATGAGCAGTGTAAACTACCAGCTTCCGCCACTGCTACCTCATCTTTAGACCTACCGGGTCAACCACCCTCAGTCCCATTTCCTGCCTGGTCCTCATATGAGCAGTGTCAAATACCACCACCCCCGTGTCCACCCTCATCTTCATACCAACAGGCTGATCTTCCACGACCCCCATGTCCACCCTCATCCTCATACCAACAGGCTGATCTTCCACCAGCCCCATGTCCACCCTCATCCTCATACCAACAGGCTGATCTTCCACCAGCCCCATGTCCACCCTCATCCTCATACCAACAGGCTGATCTTCCACCAGCCCCATGTCCACCCTCATCCTCATACCAACAGGCT